GTTTTTGAATTAAAGAGAAAACAGATTAAGTCTTTACTCTCTAAGACTCTCTCTCTCTCTCTCTCTCTCTCTCCCTCTCTCTCTCTCAAAAACTCATTTAATCTCGATCTGAATAGTAGTCTCTCTCCCCTCCCTCACTATCTACCAGTATATCTCACCGACACTTATGTTATATTTCTCGGCAAACAATTTGCATATTCACTATAGTTTAGTCTCGAACTCACTCTCACCCACTTTTACCATGTATTTCAAGACTATTATAATCATCATTACTATTATCCAACAGTTTCTTACATAACGGGAGAGAGAAAATTGATTGCTATGCTGTGCTGATAGGCTCGGCTGATAGGCTCGGGGCCACTAATCCCTGGGTATAGGCAATGAAAGTGTAATTTGAGATCTAAATTACATTAAGCGCCACAAATCCGTTGCCTATTTTGCCATCAAATGCACAGATATATAGAGTATAGAGTTTTTTGTAGATACAATCCAAGTAAGAGAGACATTGATTTGCTCTCTCCATCAGTCTCTCTCTCTCTCTCTCTCTCTCTCTCTCTCTCTAATTTTGTAATTGAAATTCTTGTGATAAAATTGGTTTAAAAACAAAATCACAAGAAATTCAAAAATTATTTGAAAACAATAATGAGAGAGAAAATGACAATTTATTTCCCAAACACTTTATCGTTAATCGTATGGGAAATATACGCATAAATATATCGCTGTAATTGATAAATGAGGGCTAAATTTAATGCATAATTAAATACATATCTCCAGTGAGTGAGTGAAAAAAGTTAGTGAAGAGAGAGAGAGAGAGAGAGAGAGAGAGAGAGAGACTGAAAGAGAAATCAATACAAACGAGTTAAGTCGTCGCTAAAAATATTGTATATTTCAAAGAAAATTAATGAATTTATTGAAGATTTAGACATTTTTGTCGGCAGAGAGAGAGAGAGAGAGAGAGAGAGAGAGACTGGGATTTTAAGCATTAATAAATGTAATTTAATTATTAGTCGCGAGTAAACGACAAATGAGTGAAAAAATTATTAAATTGAACGCAAAAATGGTTGCAAACGATATGGAAAATTAATTGCCATAAAACTAAACATGGCATACAATGCTTAACCATGGTTAACTAAGCATAGTATCAAGGTTACTTTGCATCGACAAATACCTAATGCAACGGTAAAAACCAATTGGTGTTTGAAATCGTGGTTTCGGTTCACAAAACTGGCTAAAGAGGCGGAAAAGTTAGTCCAAGAAATACGGTATGAAAAAACTCAAGACTTTTTTTACTGTTTGTTTGTCTGATATAACAATTGAGTTGTGAATTATATACTCAAAACCGTATGACCGATAAAACGGTACATTCAATACACAACACGACAACAGCAAAAATTATTATATAATAGTTATATAATATATAATAAAATATACTTAAAAATATATAATCGATTAGTCAATGAAAGAGAGAGAGAAAGAGAGAGAGAGAGAGAGAGAGAGAGAGAGCATATAATATACAGTATACTACTGAAAGAGATGGTAAATTTAAGCTTAAGCTGAATTTAACGCTACCTTTTTAAAGATATTTTGTGGCATCAATTGAGTCGTTGGTTCGCGAAATTGTGCCCTTAAAGGCGCTCTCCCGTAGACAACGGCACTACCGGTGCTCACAGAGTGAGAGTGACTACCGGTGCTGATGGTAATGATGACTGGCTTTGGGATCACAATTCAAAGAGTATATACTTGTTGTATAAGAGAGTGAGAGCACATCCATCCATACACTAACGCACACATAGAGTACACTATATATAAGTTATATAATATGGATGTGAGAGAGAGTATATAGAGAGAGCTATAAGAGAGAGTATTATAGCTCTCTATAGGAAGTGTTTGAAGCGAGAGATGAGTTTAGTTCAGGTCTTCAACTTTTCGGTTCCAGTTGTGTTCACCCCAACGACTCTTCCCTTTCCTCTCCTTTCCTTCGTATGGATGTGTTGTCTGACTCTTAAGATGAGAAGCAGATCCGGAGCTGAGACTTATTGGGCGTACAGTTTTTTGTTACGGCAATATTCACTGTCTATACAGACGTATAACTTATATACTGTTCATATATAGCCAAGTCTTGAGCCGATATACTGTGTATATATAGCTGAGGGGGCCGTCGACGACGATAAATACCACGTTCGGGTGCTCTCTCACTGTCGTACAGCTCTCCTGTATATGTGTTGTGTTGGGCTCTCTCAGTAGCGACGCAATGACCGGAATCAGTCGTATTTCACGCGATGTTCACTACGCATCCATGCGATCCCTTTCCACATATATTACTGGGGCTGTACTCCTCCCGGAGCCGCCCAACCCATCAACGAACAGTCCCCTCGCATATATACACACATACTCGCTCTCCCCACTCGCGCTCCAACAGCTCTCTCTCTCTCTCTCTCTCACGTACAGTACATCTCCAAACAATTTATTCACTTTGAAATAATAAGTTCTTGTATGAAATGTAATGAAATTAAAATTCATTTCAAGCATAAGATAATTAGGTTTTGAAGAAAAACAAAATCTCATTCTTCATTGCATTCACACAAAGATTGCTTAGAATTTAAAAATAATGTTTATTTTCTGATAATTTTATTAACAAATATACTGTACATTACATTATCATTCATACAATGAATTTACAAAAATAGTTGAATAAAACGAATTCAAAACAAATATTTTATTTTGAAATGTTTCTAAAGACCGACAATTTTTTAATAAAAACAAATTTTGAATCATATGTTCAAACAATTTAACTGAAAATTACTTTTCTATTGAATACAATTAAGACTAGAGATGAGAAGAGATGAGAAAGTGATCGATACGGAAGAAAATATCTCTCTCTTTATAGGCATTTGAGTCGATAGTCATGGGATGATGTGTCGGGCCGTTGGGTTTGACACGAGTTACAGACGGTGTCGGCGGTCGGCGAACACGTATGGCTCGCATACAGGCCTTCACCGCATTTACTACACGACTCGCAATGGCTTTTGTATGAGTTGTGCGGTTGGTATGTATTGGGCGGACAGGCGGCACATTGGGTCCCTGTTGTGGTCCCGGGGCTCAAATCGCACTTCACCTTAACGTAGTGACCGGGCGGACACTGATGGCACCTGAGGTCGTGCTGATGCCGGTGCTTGTGATGTGTGAACTGTGCTCTATCGGGCACCTGATAGGGGAGTGAAAAAAGTAATTAAAAATAAGTGCTCATAATTTAAGGGTTGTTATGTGTCGGCCCTCTAATTGACTTTACTTTCACTGCAATTACATGTTTTCATGCGATTCAACGCTTTTCTTGTGAAAAAATATTTCCCTTAAAAACATATCTCTAATGAAAGAAAACACTTTGCCTTTCAATCAGAGGAATACTTGGCGTTTATAATGCGGTTTATTGTTAAACATTGTCTAAAATCTAAAATACAATATAATTAGTCGTCTCTCACATAATCATTCCGTGTCTCACATAATAAATCTTTGGTAAAGGTTTTTGATTTGTTTTCAAAACACATCACAAACTTCTTTGAAAATAGTATTTTTACTTTTTTTTCTTTTATGTTTTTTACTTTTATCAATAATATAATTATGAAATAATGAGATTTTACTTTAGTTTCAACAATTAGTTTGAATAAAATATTTCACATATTTTTATTTTGTATTCTCACTAATAATATAAAAGCGTTTTCGAGTGGATATCAACTATTTTTTATATCAAATTATATTATTTTGTTTCCGAATCTCATAAAAATTTCAATTAAATATTTATATTTTTGGAGAATTTTATTCAATGAATAAATTATAAGACAAAGAAATTTAATTAAATTAAAGATCAACTCATGGATCTAAAAATGTCAATATTTTATTTTGCTTAACCAATACATGAATTTGTTTATTAAGCAAAATATTAAATTATTAATAAATAATCAGTGGATTTGGTTCAATACCATTACTATCTGCAAAACATTATGATAACAATACATGTTTTATTAAATAAACACATCAATGAATAAATGGATACTTTTGAAATATGTTTTTATAAAAATATATTTTCAGATTTATTTGATTAGTTAATAAAATAATTATATGGTTGCTGTCGTACATATCTTGGAAACAATTATTTGATTCATAAAATTTAATATTGTGTTAATTAAAATATTAACATTAAACCATTCAATCAAATGTCTTATACCAATCAAAACCCCAACAAAAATATAGATACATGTATTAAATAAGTCTTAGAAATAAATTCTGTAATTCAAGTCATAAATATGGAGAAAAATTCTTAAACATTTGTTTTCCAAAAATAATAAATAATTAATGAATGATTTTATTTTAGTTTAAAACAGTGATATATTTTATTAATAAGATTTTAAATAATTTGTTTCAAATGTTGACATTTGCTTTTACGGGTTACCCTAACACGGGTTATAAGAAATTATATTCTGTTTGTTTTAAAGTAATTATTATACCTATGTATATAATATTATCTAAGATTGGCTATTAAAAATTGTAAAGTACATTGATGAATTCAATTAATAATTATAGAACATCTATCTGATTAATTATATAACTATAATATAAACTTATAAACTTATAATATAAATTTTTTATAGTACAACATTCATTAAATATTTATATATTCTCGCCATTTATTGTATAGTTTTTTTTGTAAGCTCTTTAATATTTAATAATAGAATCTTAAAATTAAATAAATTATTAAAGAAATGTAAATAAAATATTTGGTTTATTTTAAATATTGTTAATCAATAAATGATAACATTATCAAAATAATGTTATGTTTTATAGCAACTCAACCAACTATAATCCAATCGCCTCCCAGTCCTCTCTCTCTCTCTCCTCATCTTACTCTCTCTCTCTCTCTCTCGCTGTGCCTAAACAGCATTCATAGCATGTGTGAGTGCGCGCCGGTAGTCATAGCGATATCGCTAGACTTGGCCGGGAGTGTATGACGAGAGCGCTGCGAGAGGGTTGGGAGAGTGAATGAGTGAGAGAGTTACTGATGAGAGAGTAAGATGAGGAGAGAGAGAGAGAGGACTGGGAGGCGATTGGATTATAGTTGGTTGAGTTGCTTTTTGGCCCCCTTTTATTTCAGTGGTGTACACCTCGTTGCACCTCTTCAGAGCTAACTGAGCGCCCAATCGGTGAACGCATTCACGCGATCACAACGTCCATTATATACACACACATACAATGCTCTCTCTCCACTCCCCCTATTGTTTTTGTGTGTGCCGTACAAACTAACTGTCCATTAAAATTAATTCACTAGTTTGTCATTATATTGTTATATAATAGTAGTATATATACAGTGCTGTATACAGTATTGTACACCATATGTAAGCATAACATAAGTTTTGTATTGTTTTTATGTTTGTCTCTCTTATAAAGCATTATATTTACTGAAACGAGTCGTTCATACGCTATAATGAACTCCCATTGTATTAACAAAAATGTATGTATGTATTGTGTAGTGTATACAGTATAAAACAATGATGATGATGATGATTTTTATATTGTATTATGTAATTTTATTATGTATTAAGTATAACATATTGTGTTTAAAAGATTTTTCGGCGAAAAACGGCTTTTTGTTTTGTTCAGCCGTTTTATTATTATGTAGTTTTTGTTATCAATACAATGCCAGAGACAATGGGCCCAAGAATTATGTTTAATTAGTCTCTCTCTCTCTCTCTCTCTCTCTCTCTCTCTCTCNTAGCTCTTTGAGGTGCAACGAGGTGTACACCACTGAAATAAAAGGGGGCCAAAAAGCAACTCAACCAACTATAATCCAATCGCCTCCCAGTCCTCTCTCTCACTCTCTGTTTGTGTAATAGAAATGCAAGAATTTTCTAACAATTACTGCAATATATTCACGATATTTTCAATTGAAATTTTAAATTCAAATCAAATGCTTATATAAATATTGGTTTATAATTAGTTAATATAATTAGATATTTTAACCAAGAGTTATGATGAGTTTAAATCATATATTTATTCTACCATAATAATTATATGTACTTTTGAAATGCTGTATATTTATTTTGGCATAGGATGGAGATTTATATATAGCTGGTCAGGGAATTTGATGTACAGGGCCAATTTAAGTGTCAGGCTAGTAGTTAAGGTAACAGATCATGATTATTCATGCGTCCTATCTCTCTCTCTCTCTCTCTCTTTCTCTCTCTCTCTCTCTGTTTGTGTAATAGAAATGCAAGAATTTTCTAACAATTACTTGTAACTCTCTCACTCATTCACTCTCCCAACCCTCTCGCAGCGCTCTCGTCATAACAATGAATAGCAAAGTATTTGTTCACTAATTGGCTGTAATCTACTTTACTATACACTACACACACACACGACTCAAAACCATTAAAATGCTTATTATATTACGATTATTAGTATAGTGTGAATATAACGCACAGAATATTCTGTGTGTGATTTATATATAGATCAATTTATTTGCGCTATAACTTCACGCTAAATATAGCCATGTTGTAAAAGGCATTAAACTTGATATGCATTTATAATAATTTCAAATTAAAGGGATATTACTTTAAACATTAGTAATATTTTAGCTAATAATAAAATTGTAAAATTTATTATACTATTAAATATTATTTGATAAAACTACCATGTGTTTATTAAATACATTAAATATGTACTATTAATACGAATAGTGATAGTAATTTCTTCAGCGATGGTCACAACGGGAAAGATGTAATGCATGAGAAGTAGAGGGAAGTGATGGCAAAGACAATGGGTTGAAGAGAAGACATAAAGAATGCAAATCATGTGTGTCTGGGATCTAATGAATCAGATGATGACAGCGGTGTATAATAATTGGGATGCTGTGCAGCATCTCTCTCTCTCTCTCTCTCTCTCTCTCTCTCTCTCTCTCTC